CATTTACCACCAGGCTTATGTGACATAACAATAAATAGTGACATTAAGGTACATGACCTATATGTGAAAGTAAAATGTTTCAAGATATTTATGTGACATTTGCCCATAAGCTTATGTGACATAACATAATACAATACAATGTCAAATACCCTTAAGCACTTATTCGATTGACCATGCAATGAAGTCACATATTTTTGTTTTAAAGTCACATAAATTGTTAGTACAATGACCTGCATTTTGTGGGTCAGTTATGTGAAAGTTACCCAACTTTCAGAATACCCCTAAGCATTTACCCCTAAGCTTAAGTGACCTAAGTGTTGAAGACATTTATGTGATTTTTACCATAAGTTTACAGTATGTGACATTACATAATCAATATAATGTCACATACTTACGGACAATTGTCACATTACCATTGATTTGTTAGAACAGTTTATGAAGTCACAATTTTTTTTAAAAGTCACATAAATTGTCCGTCTGTAAGCCTTTCACATTTTAAACTCAAGAACCACTGGGCCAAATCTAATCAAAGTTGGTATAAGCATCCTTGGGAGAATGGAAAAATTAAGGACCATGCCCTCTTCCAAGAGGAGATGAGGAGAAAAGACAAAAATAGGGAAGGGTCATTAAAAAATCTTCTTTTCAAGAACCACTAGGCCAGTAAAGCTGAAACGTATGTGAAAGCCTACAGAGGTAGTGTAAATTCTAAATTTTTCAAATCATGGCCCCTGGGGTTAGGGTGGGACCACAATAGAGAATCAAAGTTTTACATTGAAACATATATGAAAATATTTAAAACTCTTCTTTTCAAGAACCACTGGCTGGGCTAGAAACCTGAAAGTTATGTGGAAGGTTCTCGAGGTAGTGAAGATTTTAAATTGTTCAAATCATGGCCCCGGGGTAAGGCTGGGGTCACAATAGGGAATAAAATTTTAACATTGAAATATGTAGGAAAAATCTTTAAAAATTACTTCTTAAGAACCACTGGGCCAGAAAAACTGTTCAAATCATGGCCTCCGGTGTAGGGTGGGGCCACAACAGGGAATCAAAGCATTACAAGGGGAAAAATCTGATGAAAAACAGTAGGGCCAAAGTGACTCAGGTGAGCGTAGTGGCCCATGGGCTGCTTATTAATGTTAAGGTTTATTATTTCCTTAAGACACTTTTTGATTGAAAGTTCTAACAACAATAAATATTAAATCTTTCTAAATGTCCCATATATACATTGTATCGAAAACACCAATATTTTTAAAAAAAAAGTTTTTGGTTTAATGAGGAATATGAAAATTATCACTTTGTAAGAAATTAAAAAAAAACTACCTACCTTGAAAATATTAAGTCTTGGTTTCATTTTTTTTTATTATCAAAAGTGTTAATTAGAATATTTTTGTTATCAAAAAAGCTTTGAACAACTATATTTTTACATTAATATTTAAGAATCTTTCCTGGTTCCATTAAATTAAAAAACGCCCTACCCCTGCCATAAGATGCTGTTGTCAAGCTCTTGCTGCCCGCATGGCGCAGTGGTAGAGCGTCTGCTCTAGAGTCGCGGAATAAGGAGTTAATCCTTACGTCGTAGTTCGAATCCCACTGTGTGTCGTGGAGACTGGTCCTTCGGATGGGACTGTATAAAGCGAGGTCCGGTGTCGCAGTAGATGTTGGCACGAAAAAGATCCCTCACTGCTCAGTATAGTATAGGTCAGCTCTCCACCGGCAATTGGTGGCGTCTCCATATCATATGAGTGAAAAAAGAGGAACGTTAAACAACAAACAAACAAAACCAAGCTCTTGCCAAGCTCTCGTGGGGTCCTTCTAAGTAAGAGCAATAATTTTGAAGAATTCTGAAGAAAAATTAAAATTATTAAATCCAAAGATGAATATTAAAACAATCAAACTTGAAATAATGATAATGAAACCCAAAGATGATAGAAATAAATAAAGCCACTCCTTAAACTCCGCTAAGAAGTCAACATTATCTAGTAAACACTACAGGTCACCCTCTGATACATCAGTCAGTGTTAAACAGGTGACAGAGGACAAACTGGACACTGGAAGTATTGGTTCTAACCATACACTGACCGAAGAGACTTCATCTGGGATGGTGGAAAGTGAAAATCAAACCAATGGTGTGCCAACTAGGATCTCATCTGACACAGGCCAGTCAAGGTCCAAACTTGATTTACCAGAGTCAGCAATGTTAGAAACTGTGATAAAAGCCAAGCCATCAAGTCTCCCAGTAACCCCTATAGATCCCGGGGCCAAGCACCTATCAGGATCCTCAGGCCCTGACTATGATATCAGAGGCATTATGGGGTGTAGACTTAGTGATGCTGTATCAACTAGTGCAATCGAGAACTGAAAGTCTCAAAAAAAACTAATTATCCCCTGGAGGAATTTGCCGATAAACTCAAGAAAAGAATGAACCCCTCTTTTTATGGTTTTTGTATACTGTAGATCACCAAATTTTCGCAACACTTTAATTTCACGAGATGGCCATTTGGTATTCATAACTTTAACTGTATTTATTGTATTGATGACAGTTTATTTCTAGAAGTTCTTCTAATGGAAATACGGGGAATAACCATTTCATATTCCTCATATAAGAAAAAGAAGAGAGAAAAGCTCGAAAAATCACTAATAGAAGAAATAGAAAGTATGGAGTCACAAAATAAAAGCAATGCATTTATTCTTGAAGAAAAAACATTTTATACACACGTAATGTCTTGAAAGTTTAAGAAAAGAAAAATGCAAGGTCATTTAATAAGATCACGTGCTAGATGGGTTAAAGAAGGTGAAAAGCCTACAAAATATTTTTGCAACTTAGAATCTCCTAACTACATAAACAAAGTAATAAAACGGTTTGATATTGATGAAAATAAAACTTTTTATGACCAGTTTTAAATTTTGAACCAAGTTATAATCTTTGATAAAGAATCATATGCAAATGGAGATTCAGAACTTATTGATTTGAATCTCAATGATATTATTGATCATTTAGAAAGTAAAAAACTTGATGAAGAAATATCAAGCTAATTAGAAAATGAAATTGTTGAAAGTGAATGTTCATATTTTCTGAAAAATATGAAAAATAGAAAATCACCTAGAAGTGATGGTTTAACTACCGAATTAAAAAAACATTTTTGAAAAGATTAAAAATGTTACATTCTAAGAACAATAAATTGTATTTTCTGTAAGAAAGAATTGCCAATTTCATAAAGGTTTGCTTTTATTTCGTGTATAACAAAGAGTGACAAACAAAGACAACATTTAAAGAGTTGGCGTCCAATAAGTTTATTTAATGTGTTATATAAACTCATATCTGGATGTCTAAGTTATAGAATAAAGACTACCTTAGACGCCCTTATTTCAGATACACAATCTGGTTTTATCAAAGGTAGATATATAGGTGAAAATACAAGATTTATTTATGATCTTACGTCATATACAGATTAAAAAAGTATACCAGGTCTTTTAGTTATTATTGATTTTGAGAAAGCATTTGACTAAATATCATGGTCTTTTATTTACAAAGTACTGAATATTTTGGTTTTGGGAAGAAATTTATTGATTGAATTAAAATTTTGAATACAAATTTTAAAACATCTGTTCTACAACGTGGACATTTATCTGAACAAATCCATATTCAGAGAGATTGTAGACTGGGAGATCCCATTGCTCCTTATTCATTTCTCCTCTGCGCTAAAATCCTTGCTATTCTTGTCGAAAGATCTAGAAAACAAAGACATCAAGGGCATTATTATTTAGGAGAATGAACACAAAATTTCCAAACATGCTGATGACACTTCGCTTGCCCTTGAAAGTTCAATAAAATCACTTTTTGCCGCTCTTGATATTTTGTGTTAAAAATAAACAGTACTAAAACAAAATTATTTGGATTAGCTCAAAAAAAAAAAAAAAAAAAAAAAAAAAAAAAAAAAAAAAAAATCAAACCACGTTTTTCACAACCCAAGATGGAAGTCAGATTGGGGGTCAACGACTTTCTCCTTAAAAGGTATTAATTTTTCCGTAGTCTTAGAAACTATTACTGACACATATTATAATATTATTCTACCCAAAGTAAAAGCTCTGATTCAGTAGTGGAATCGATGAATACTAACACCAATTGGTCGAATCACTGTCTAAAATACCTTAACTTTACCAAAACTAAATCATTTATTTATTTCTCCTCCTACACCTAGCATTCCTACACCTCAGAAAATAAAGATATCTTTGAATTTGTATGGAAATCAAAATCAACAAGCGTGAAATCAACTAAGAGATCTAGATCCCATACGCAGGTGATAAACAGGTTGGCAGGTTATCATTAACGTCTTTTTCAAGTAAAATATCCAAATATGAAACAGATGTGTCAGACTCTGTGGTATCTTTTATTTCAAGCTCACCGGGATATATCGTATAGACATAAAAATGGAAATCTCTATTGTTAATTGACAATACGTCGTCGATATATCTAAATATCGAGCTGAAGGCCACAGCAAGTGTTTTCTTCTTTTCATGTATACATGTACGATTTTGAACAAATTGTGCTTCATATGAATACAAAAATAGGTCTGCTGATAACGGGGAGTAATTGGTAACCATGGAAATTTCAATAGATTGTTGAAAGACCTGGTCTCCAAAAAACACATAGATATTATCAATAGGAAACACAAGCATCTTTTTAATATCAACTTCAGAGTATTTGTGTGTGCAATTAGAATGTTTTTAACAAAATAATTTTGCAAATGACCGATGACAAGGTAAGTAAAATTACAAGTTCCATTTTTATTGAAAAAGCAGCTATCGATGATATCAAAAAGTCTGGATCCGGTTGTATCAATATTTAATGAATAATTAAAGCTTCATTAAACTGATCATTTTTAATGTGTCATTAAATTCCGTTGTATCAATGTTTTAATGAACGAATCGATGCATTAAAGCTTCATTAACTTCTCTAATTTTAATGAAGCCAAGAGGGCTTCTTTAAACGCTCATTAACAATGGCGGCCAACGTAATGTTTGGTCAGTTGGGTAGAAGAAGAGCGGATAGGGTTTTTAGAGAACGTTTTTCTGTACAAAACATAAGTGAAGAGGAAATTCGGCGGCGGTATCGATTTGAAAAGGAATCAATAAAACAAATCGTGGATTTACTTGACCCAATAATCGGCCATAGGACTAGAAGGTCGCAGGCATTATCAACAGAATTACAGGTATATAACTGATTAAAAAAACTCACTTTGTCATGTACTGTCCATACGAAAACAGTCAACAAACACCACAACCTCCCCTTTCCCTTGTTTTTTTTTTAGTTGATTACGTCACATATTGCGTCACCTTGGTGGCGGATCCTGACAATATTTACCCATATAGTACAAGAATAATTAATAATTATTATACATATTATACATGAACATGATTATACATACATACATCTCATATTATTTGAATAATTTTGTTTGATTATACACAGGTGAACTGTGACGACAAAATTCTTGAGTGATTCTAAAATATTAGAGTTATTCCCCTTTGTGCATACCATGTAAGCATGTCACAGGTGCTTGGAAACTGACGATCCGCAACTCTATGCTAATATCATATTTTTTGGGGGGGGGGGGGTGTCTATATATGTCCTTGTACATGTATAAAACACCAACCGACTGTGTCTGGGATATCAAAGGCCAGTCGAATGTAAAAATATTCCGTTTTAAAATAAAAATGCTGTGGCTGTTTTAAAAACACATTTTGTGATACATTTAGAGGAGTCGTCGTCGGGATGGACCACGTTTTGTAGTATTTGAATCATTTAAAATCTTTCCTCTAAGATTAATTAGACAATTTATGTAATATCTTGATTTTATTCGCCATCATTATGGAAATATGCCGTGTTAATGAGGTTGATTTATTTATTCAATGTATGAAAAATGGTGAAGGCCCACATTTATAAAATCTGGAACATAAATTACTAAAAAAAAAAATTGAATTAATATACATGTATATGCATGTACACTGTACTACATTTGTATGAAATCCACATATGATTATATATATATATAGTGCCAAAAATTACATGTTTAAGATTTAGTTTACATAAAAATATGCAATTCTACAATAGTAATTTTATCAGATTTCATTGTTAATATTGTAGGTCTTCGCCATTTTTCGTAAATTGAATAAATAAATCAACCTCATTAATCCTGCGTGTTTCATTATCATTTAATTAAATTTTTGCTGAATTAATTTTTTTTTTCTTCATCAGGTGAATTTGCATTAAAGTAATAAATATTTTGGAAGGATTTTTAAATCAAATCTGCTATAAAATCAATCTACACGTAATTAAAATTAGATGTTCCGAATCCGCTAGAGGTGGTAGCGGATTTGGAACATCTAATTTTAATCAGATTGTTATAACATAATTATGAACTCGTTTTTTTTTTTATTTCATGATTTAATGCCGGTAAATCGAGAGAAACTGAATTTGGTTTGTATATTATGAACTTTGAACCTAAATTAAGTTTTTTTTAAAAATCGAAACTAATATATTAACTATTCGGGTTATTTATTTAGTTATCGACAAAAGTGACTTTAAAAAGTTTAAATCTAAAATTTAATATTTTACTATTTCTTTCAATTCATATCACAATCTCTTCCGCTGTTAGAAATGTCGGATTGAAAAAGAATTCGGACCAGAACACGGGAAGTTGGTGTATAGTTCATGGCATTAGAAAAAAATCGGAGGAACTCAAAATTATCTTAACTAATTAAAACATAAAGTGAAATACATGTATATTAATAATAGTCATATCGTTTCTAATACACTTTAAATTAATATGACATGCATGTATACGTCTGTAAAAACACAACAAAAACTTGCCTATAATACTGACTTTTCCTATTTTTTTTCCCTTAAGGTAGGCCCCTCTCGAAATTTTCTTGGATATAGCAATGCATGTTTTCTTTCTTTGAATCATTAGAATAACATCTTACTAGGTAATTTAAAAGCCCATAAAATAAATTGTTTGACTTTTTTTCTGACTAAAATTATCATAAAGACATATATACCACTTTATTTCAAATCTTTAGGTCCTCATTTCTTTGCGATATTACGCTAGTGGGAGTTTTCTTGAAGTCGTCGGAGATACTGTTGGAGTGAACAAGTCAACTGTTTCGAGAGTTGTCCGTAAAGTTTCCAGAGCCCTTGTTTCCCTGGCTCACCGGTTTATCAGATGGCCTGCCGATGACGAACTTACCATCATCAAAAACGAATTCTTCAATTTAGCTGGATTCCCGGGTGTCATAGGGTGCATAGATGGCACCCATGTACGAATCCAAGCCCCCTCTCAAAATGAACCAGCGTACGTTAATAGGAAAGGCTTCCACTCAGTAAATGTACAGGCGATTTGTGATTATACAGGTATGAGAGAGAGAGAGAGATTTTCTATGATATTCTGAAATCCCAACTCCTGATATATTTTACTTCAAAACGAGAACATATTTTTCAGGCAGATTTACCAACATCGTAGCTAGATGGCCCGGAAGTACACATGACAGTCATATATTCCGTATGTCAGGAATAAGACAAACTATAGAAGAGAAGTTTCACTCGATTAAGGATGGGGTTGTTCTTGGTGACAGCGGTTACGCATGTAAACCTTATCTTATGACCCCGTATCTGAGACCATCGACACCAGCACAGGAACGCTTTAACTCGGCCCATTCGAAGACCAGGGTGACCATTGAGCGTGCATTTGGTTGGTGGAAGAGGCGTTTTCACGTCCTCCATACTGAAATACGGATGACACCGGAGAGGGTCTGCACAGTCATAGGTACAAGGCTTAGACAGATGTAGTTAATAGGCTTAGGAACATGTTCATTTAGTATTCACAAGTAATTATTTGCATGTTTTTAGGTACCTGTTGTGTGAACGTAAACGTTTTGATTTCAGGAGCATGTGCTGTACTTCACAATCTTGCTATTTTATTCCGGGAGCCACTTGCAGACGAAGATCAAGACTTGGACGTCGATGGAAATATTCAAGGGCAGTACAAAGGACCCGAGGATGGGAAAAACATAAGAAATTATATCACACAACATTATTTTTAAGAACTTGCATTTATTTTACGTGTACCAATGGAAACAGTTAAGGCGTTTATTGGTATACACTGGTATAGTTATTGTATTTTGTTCATAAATTGTATTTGATTCATTTCTATATTGTACAAACACTTTAGGTGCGCTTAACAAATAGTTGTTTTCAAATTCATAAAGTTATACTTGTAGTAATATAGGTTAGAAGAAAAACCCATGAATATGAGAAAAAATGAAAAAGAAACAGTTAATCTTCAGAAGACATATCCAACTCCCGTCTAAGCTTTTTGTTCATCAATCTGTAGTAAACCGTTTGCTCCCGTAATTTCTGTTGTTGTTCCACCAACACTGCGTACTGCATTTGAGTCACGTCTTCAGGTTTTACCCTCTTGCGTTGTCCTATATTCTCCACCTTTTTTGACCTATAATGTATGTGTTTAGTAAGTAACTATTGATGCAGGATCGAACTTTTGAGCTTATTGACATTCCTTAGATTAAAACTTGTTAACAAAGCAATGTGTGCAATCATGAATTTCTATTTTATCCTATTATATTACATAATATAATATGTTATAACTTATTACATGTAAAATTTTACATTAGCACATGTAGGTTACAATACGTCGACAGGTAAGTGTAAACACTTTAAATGCAGAACTATACTTAAATTTCGCCAGTTTGAATGGTGATAGCAGATTCTCTTCAGGAAGAGACACATTTTGAATTTGTTATAATAAATATTGATTATTTATTGAATTAAAAGATATTTATGCACGTCTATATCAACAATTTATTTGTTTATGAACTATAATTACATGTTTGGCACCATGCTAGTCGTCGCTGTAGTTGTTATATTTTCTGGTGCGGTTACCTCTGTCGCCGCGGTTACCTCTGTCGCCACGGTGACCACATTCTGTGCCAGATCAGACTCATCGACGACCTGCTCTCCTTCATTGCTCGGAATGAGCAATTCCGTTAGCATGCACATAGTTTTGGGTGAGCCCAAGATCTCTATGTTGCTTTCGTCTGTTTATGAAAAAAATTAATAATGCATTTTTGTTTTAATTCTCTGGTGCCCATTACCCTGTAAATACAAATTTCAAATTTTCAAAGTCCCTGGAGGAATCTATAGACTGAGGAGGGTACGTGGAGGGGTGATTTTCAGAGTAAACAAAAAAAGATAACCTTAGACACCTCCCCCAATTGGAAACACAAACTCCTCTTAATACTGTAAGAAAAGACTTGGAAAAAAGACGTATGTGTCTACACCCCCCCCCCCCCTCCATGAAATAAGGTTTTAAGTTTTGTGAAAGCTGTTATGTTCAGCTTTGTTGGGGGGGGGGGGTCGCGTGTGTTTGTTTGTTGTATGCTTGTCAAAAAATGTCCAAGTCTTACTTTTGTTACAGTTGATGTGGACTCTGACCCCCCGTAAAAAAAAATCATGGATATGACCTTAAAGTTGTCAAAATTCACACCCATGTATAAAAAATTCTATAATTAGATAAAAAATCATGACAAAACCTTTAAATGAAATAAGATAGACCACCAACTCGAATGAAGTAACCATCCGCGGTTTTCATAAAAATAAGGACACGTCACTTTTTATCGTCCATCACAGTAACTTTTTACGAAAGGTGGCGTTGTTAGTACTGTGACGTCATTTTGTGAATAAATGTTGAAGGACTGTATTATATAATTTATTCTGCCTGTTTATGGATTTAAAGAAGGGATTCTTGTGATTTGCTGTTGGGAAGATTTAAATGATACTTAACGAGGTAAATGATTAATGATTTAACGTACAGGCGGCATGTAAAGGCGTTGCTTGTGATATCTACTGCTGTAATCATACTGTAATCAATCCCAAACCAAGGGAGAAAACTCGTATTAGTTTATTAAGGGGATGACCACTTGATTCGGGGGTAAGGGGGGGGGGGTCTGGCAAATTTTACAGTCAGATTATTCATTTTCATGTCGGTGAAGGACAGATTATTTATTTCCGAGAAGATCAAGGACAGATTATTTATTTTCTTTTTCACTTCAAAAGGTCTGACGAAACCCCCCCCCCCCCCCCCACAAAAACAGCAACAACAACAAAGTTCAAAACTCTACTTCCTTGGGGGGGGGGGGGGCTCTATTTTTTGCGATATTACTAGCAATAGTGGACTAGTCTAGAGGACAAGTTATTTATTTTCTTGCCCAGTTGAGGACAGATTTTATTTATTTTAATCATTTTCGAGGACAGATTATTTCCAAAGTCTGCCAGCCCTCCCCCCTTTTCCCCGAATCAAATGGTCGTCCCTAATTGACCCCTCCCCATATTTCGTAATGAAATGTATCCATGTATGTACTAAATAGTTGTCTACCACTGCGTCTACTTTACTTGAATGAATCAAATCATAATAATTTTAAACTTAAACTTACCAAGTGGTTGTGTCTCAAATCCAGACAATCCATTGAATGTCGGCGAACCTTTATATAAGTCGACAATCTTCTCACAGAAAGTAGATAGAGGCTTAGCGCAGGGGCCTCCTCCTGTCTTTCTTTGGGAAATTTTGTTGAGGCTGAACTCTTTCTTCGCCGTTTGGTGCATGTTTGTCCATTTAGTTTTTATTTCTTTTGTGGAACGGCTTGCGATCCCCAATGAGTTTATTTGCGTCGTGATGTTCTCCCAAATTTTCTTCTTTTTTTCGTTTGTTATACTGTTGGTTAATTTACTGTTGAGGATATTAATATTTTTCTCCACTAATTCCGTCAATAACTGTATCTCTGTTGTGTCAAAATTCTTGCCACGGTTTCTAATCGATTTGGATTGCTGTTCTTCTGTCATTGTTAGATTTATGTTATAGGCCTATCGTTCAAGACGCTCGCAGAATTGGTAAAATGACGTAATTTATTTATTTTGCGTCATAAAAACGACAACTATTTGGCGGAGTTTTAAACTGGTTTTATTAGTGCTTATTTATTAGGTAATTGGTAAACAAAGGAAACGCCCCCGGAAGTGGTAACGCAATGCATTGCGGGATATTACCCTAATGTTAGTAAATCTTTAATGAATTCTTAAATATTTAATGATTCATTAACTAATAAGACTCTAATAAAGGTTTTGTACAACACGTTTTAATGCCTTCATTAACTAATGCATCATTAGGAATTTAATGATTCATTAGGCTTTATAACTCATTAAAGTTAATAAACCGTTGATACAACCGAATCCTGGTCTTTAATTTATCGTGGGGAATGGTTGAATATAAAGTTGAAAAGTTGTAAGTTTTCGTCTTATTGATTTTGGTAAAATTTTGTGATTTCAAATTTTCCAAAAGTTCCTTGGAATTTTTAAATATCCACATCTGATTTAATTTTTCCTTCACTACTGTTAATATTTTAGTGAGGAGTAAAGAAAAAGGCTTGCTAGAACTTTATTATATTATACACGAAGCAGTACATTTTTACTTGCTCAACACAATGTATAAAGCCAAACTTTTTTTGCCTAATAAATCATTTGAAAATAAAATATAACAATGAGAGATCAATTTGTATAAATTTTTAGCATTAAATTATCATATATATATATATATATATATATATATATATATATATATATATATATATATATATATATATATATATATATATATATATATATATATATATATATATATATTATATATAAAATGTTTGTTATATAAAAGGGACTCGTGGAAGAAAATGTTTGAACCAAGTTGACATGTTTTTTTAAACCAATCTATTGAATATTATTGAATGTTTTAATTTTTTAAATTGCAATTTTTTAATTATTGAATAATTGATGTAGTGAAAAAAAAATCGTTTTTAGCAATCTGTATAAAATGTGTCAAATTTTTTTGCATAGACTATAGGTCACGTAAAACTCATGAATGAACAGCTGCAATGCATTAAATGTTCATATAAAAATGTTTGAAAATATGTTGTTTTTTCCCAATAAGAAATCATTTAGGCCTGGTCATGCGGAAGTAAGAATTGATGATTCAAAGTGAATCTAAGAATAAATATAAAGAATTTTTGTGACAATATAAAGGAAAATACTTGAATGATCTTTATTCTAAACTTTTTAATAAGGCTTACTGATTGAACACTATTGCAGTGCTTTTGACCATTTCAAGCAGCCAAAATATGTGGTATTTACGACTATTTTAAGAAGGAAATATATTTTATTTTTGTTTCATTTTCACTAATTGTTACTTTCATATTCCTAGACTTTCTAATATTTAAAATTCCTTAAAAAATGCTGGAAATTGCCGACTGAAGTTTTCAGACTTAGAAGAGAGGGAGGAAGGGAAATTATAATTTTTTTTTTCAAAATTGAAATTTTTTTAAAAATAGAAAAAATTTGATAAACATCTCAATAAACAGTGAACACATTCTTTTCTGACTCTTTGAAAAAGAGATATCTCCTCTCAAGTAAGAACCCTGATTTTGCTTAGATCTCACACTACATTAGGTGTTTTGTTGGTGCATGAAATATATGGAGATAACGAACAGTATTCAAGCTCAAAAGTCCATTAATCAATACAAAATAGGAGCAGAGCAAACACGGACCTCCAAACATCAGAGGTGGGATCAGGTGCCATGGAGGAGTGAGCATCCCCTGCCGAAAGACTTATAAATTGATAATTTGTTTTTTAAGTTGACAGTTAAGCATTTTTAGTAGAAAATGTTTTTTTTAGATCCATAAAAAGGATTTTTGAATATGAATGAGTCAAGTCTCCATTCTTCATTAAGGTTTAAATGACGAAAAAGTGAATTTAAAATCTACTTCAGGGTTCAAAAAATGGAGTCTGAACCCATTCTAAATGAAAATTAAACATTTCTGAAAAATTATACTCTCAACAAATTTGTTTATTTAAATCACACTCACACACACCAACAACAAGTAGACTTCGTAGCGTAGTGGTTAACGCGTTCAGTCTTACGCTTGACTGTGAGCTTTGGAGAGAGTTCGAATCATGCGTGAAGCCTTTTTATCCTTTTCACATACC